AGGAGCTCACCTTTTTCAGCCCCTATGAGTAGGAAATTAAATAAGGGATCGCGGCAACAAAAAGAAAAACAGAGGAAAAAAGAATGGGAGAAAAACATCGCCTCATCACTCGGCGATTAGCTGATTGTGCGTGGGTCCTAGAAAGAATAATAGCAATCTGTATTGTCTCGACACTCGTCTAACTTGACACCGATCGAGGGGCGGGAAAGCGAACTACGGCAGCAACGGGGCTTCCACTATGCCCTAGGTGCCGAGATTGTGGAAGCGAGAGGGTCCCTTCTATCACCCATGGGGGGCGCTGAGTATTCCCAAAGGAACAACTCTGTAACCTTTTTTATCGTGAACCGTGCCTTTAAAGGGCACAGTTCACGACAATTTTGTGGTAACCTCTCAAAGTCGAAAAGCGGAAGTATTGGTAGGTAATGGTGCATCGGTGGTGAAGAAAGCGAGAAAATTTGTCAATTTCCTGAAAAATATGGCTCCTCAAAAGTATGGAAAATAGAGGTTGTACGTGATTGCCATGCCGGAAATGACATGGAAGGGGTACTTGGACGAGATTTCAATTGATGCAAAGAGCTTACTGCATCGAGTCGGAACTGTCCAGAGTTGCCCTTCACTGTTGCTATGGGTCAACAAGCTGTTAGGACTTCCTAGTTAGGGTCCCTTGTGGATGATGCAGCAAACTCGTCTACAACTGTACTCTCCGCGCATACACAAGGAACAATCTTCGAGCCTTTATAGTGCCCTGTCTAGGCCGTTTCCTGACCTGAGCGCCACATATGGTGTACGAGAGGCCACTGGATCTATCCTAGCGAAATATCTCTCAGGCCATTTTTATCGTGAACTGGGCCTTTAAATTACGAATCAAAGTCTAAATCGATCCAAGATCGATCGATCGAATCCATTGATGCTCTGAAATACCATTACACTATACTCTTAGTTATGTAGTAACTATAGGTTTTAGTCTATCCAAACAGAGAGCACATGAACCCTTCGTATTATCCGAATTACTCCCGCCGTTGATCACTGGTCGGATTTTTACTCAATTAGAGCGGATCAGCCCAGGTGAAATATCGATCATAGCTCGCTGATCCTCCATCGGCGTGCTCGATCAAGACCACATGTGCCATTTTCAGCGCCTACAGTAGCCATCAGTCAGTCGACGAGCCCGTTACAGCTGGCAAGGTGAGTGAATGCTGACCAAATTTTTCTATAGTTTTTACAGAGTGTATGTGTAGGGCCTCAAAGTAACATGAAACCAATGACCATTTGCCATCTCGTTGATTTGTAGAACTTCCCTTCCTACCAACAGAAAACCTAATGCCTCAGCATTGCCTTTTTTCATGCAACCTTTTAGAAGCACTGAAAGCAGTGACTACAATTCCGCTACTGTAAAGGTGATTTCGCCCAGAACTACTGAAAATACCGCTCAGGATAAAGGATAAAAGGGTAAAGTTTTGGCGTTAATCAATCCCGTCTGAAGGATGCGCCCCCGCACTCGACTTCCATTCAGAATCGTAGTGACCTAATGAGTGCGTATGTGGCCTATACAATGGCTTGCGGTGGCCAGCCGATATACACGNGCCACTTGCCACTACACCACCTCCCCATATTACAGCTCTAGCGTTCTTCATACAGCTCAATCGATATGCGTTCATTATTTTATGCATAATTCTACTATTAGTACTTTTGTTCTTGTATTTCTTACCTACTGCTGCATCCTGCAACACTCCTTCGCGTGCGACGTCCCTCTCACCGCGACGCGACAATTTCCTTCCTACTGCATCACACCCGGATAGGAGTCTTAAGGATAAATATTGGTAGAACTTGTAATCCTTTGAGGGAGGGGAAAGAGTTTGATTTCGACATTCGATTTGTATGATAGCTATATAAGCGNTATTTCTTACCTACTGCTGCATCCTGCAACACTCCTTCGCGTGCGACGTCCCTCTCACCGCGACGCGACAATTTCCTTCCTACTACACCACACCCGGATAGGAGTCTTAGGATAAATATTGGTTGAACTTGTAATCCTTTGAGGGAGGGGAAAGAGTTTGATTTCGACATTCGATTTGTATGATAGCTATATAAGCGATCCTCGTATATCATGAATAAAGTGATCAAATTCCACATATTGTAGCTAATATACAGTTAATTATTGAATGTGTTTTCTTCCACCAGTTCTGCTTGCAGCGCCTGTGACTGCATGACTGAAAAATCGTTAACCTCGATCAATAGCCTACAATTGTGGCTTGTAAACTTGGCTCCCTCAGCAAAAAACAATCCAGATCTTACAACCTGGCACAATCCCATATTTAATGATTGTGCTCTCTTTTTCTACTACTTCATCCGGTTACGGTTTGAGCAGCTCACATGTGTTGCTGACCAACGATGAATAAATAGGTAACCATTGATTCTGGAGGAGCTTTGCCAAATTTTTTTGCAACATCATTGTGAGAATGAATTTTTATGAATGAGATGTAGCTCGGTTCGTAATGATAGGTGTTGAGTTTAAAGTCTTGTTTCCCATCTCTTTGGAATCCTTTGGAGAATACACTGGAAACTTAATGTTGACTTTGACCGTGCTGTTAGTAGGTAGAGGTTTAATACATAACGCTTAACATTGCGCATCCTCAAACTGGATTTACTTGAAACCTGCAGTTCACATCAATTCATTGGTATATTTAGTTCGTAAGGGCTAACAGTGACTGTAGCACAACTTTAGTCTGTGGAGCCTCATTCAAATTTTATTCAAATATAATCTTCACGACAAGCGCACGGTGCATAATAAATAGAGTGATCAAGTGATTACTCCTTTATCATTTTCTCTGTGTTACTGGGGCATTCAAACGCAGCCAGACCAAGTGCTCTAGGCTCTGCGCTCTGACAAAAGTTGCTAAGAGAAAGGTCACACGTGACATTAGCGACAGAGAAAAATACGTAAGCTAAACAAGTGGAAAACAAGTGCTGAAAGATGAATGGACTTGCCTGCCTCTTAAGCTTCAGGACCTTGCCGCATTTGAAGGAAAGGCATCTCCATTTGGTGAGCAGAGACCTGTAATCAAGTTCTAGACCCCAAGCGGCCGTGAACCCAGCGAGGTTGAACTGAGCATGGTATTTGCTCTGAATGGAGTTCAGCAGTTCCACAGATCGTTCAACTAGGTATTACATCGATTCTACACAAATTAGTCTGAAAAATTCACAAAAATTAGTGAAATACACCGCAAAGTTTGAAAGTAGTTGCAGGACTCCGAAATCTGATCATGTTCACATTTTATGATTGATCCCATTTTTCAAAATATCGCTCTAGCGTTATGAATGCCTTTATTCTTCCCGGCTGAAACTGCATGGAATGGCCTTGAGTCACTGGTGAGTCAGTAAACTTGTAAATGTTGAAGGCGTTGAACTTCGAAGACTACCTATTTTTAGATGTAACGGGGCATGTAACGGGTTTTCTGAGCATCAAAATCACTCCACTCACCAAGACTAAGGGAATAGACGTAGAGTAGAACCTTCTTGGATTAAGTCATGTATTTGACATCAATTGAGATTCGTTAAGGTGCATGGCCTATGCAATGATTTGTCAATGATGATTTTTCTTATCAGTGTTTTCATCCTCCTAAATTGATGTGCTATGAGTCCGTTGACCGTGGTGTGAAGGCAAATGTGATCACTTATAGACCCAATTCACACGGAAATGTCTTCTGAGATTTTCTCAAAGTATGAATTCGAGGCCCAGTCTTGTACCATACGTGCCACTACAAGGTCGAAAAGCCTCCTGTTTAGGGAGCAGAAAGGGGCCGGAGATTGTATCGTGTGAATGCCTCACCCATAGCGGACGAGTTTCACCGGCACTGTAGAGGCTGCACAGATCACAAGGGAACCAATGTAGGAAGTTCAAACAAATTTGACCCATAGTGACAGTGAAAGGCAATTCTAGAAAGTTTTGGCTTGAAGTAGTCGGCTCTTTGCGCAATTGCAATAACTAAAATGTCGTCCGAATATGCATTCCATGTCATTTCCGTCACGGTAATCTCGTCCAANCTTTTAAAGAGCTATACTTTCTCGAAATCGGCATTTTCCCTCGCTTTGTTCATTTACGATGTACTATTGCCAATCTATACTTCCGCTTTTCGAACAAAAAGATGACCGGAAAATTATTTTGAACTATGCCTTCAACATTGGGCGGGGGTAGTTGTTTGCGCCATCATAAACATTTAAGAATTTTTCAGGTTTGAGAGTACCTATTCAGGAACAGTTGACTTAACACGATGTTTTTAAGGGGTAAACGATAAAAGCGTGTATTATCGGAGAAAGTATCGAAGAGTAGAATAGTCTAGCAAGTGATATGACGTCGATGATTTACCGAGGAAACATGTGGTAGGAGCATCGCGGTATCACGCAGTCGCTTCATTGTATCATATTGGTAAGGCCTAAAAAGGTGAAATGACGGGATCCTGACTGAAGCTGTCCCGCAGTACTGAGGCCCGACTATTCGCAGATGATTTCATAACTCCAATAGAAATCAATGAGAAGCACCCACTACATAAGTTCGAAATCATCCCCATAAGGCATAAACCATATACTTTAGAGGTACTGCGCAACATATTATTTATGTATGTATGTGGTATGTGGAATTAATTTCAGTTCGACCATGATCTTGGTCTTACTCTTGCTATTCGGATGGATTACGAATGTTTCAACGCTTCAAGTAGCGTGCTATCATTGTTACGGCAACTCGACAACTGAAGGGCAAATCTGTTCAATTGATAATCTATGTCTGGGAGAATCGTGCTACTTCTGTGAGTTCCTTAACATGCTTTTTATTCCCCATCATTATATTATAATATGAATTTCTATTGGCTAAATATATAAAAAAAGGAGTGGAAATATCTATATGCAAAGATATGTTTATGTATGTACGAGGGTTGCCTTTATACAGTAGCGCTCAAAAGTCTTCGGTGAAATGGTTCATCAGCCGCACTTTTCATTTGTAACTCCTTTCCTACTGGATCTAATCAGGCGAAATTTCTATATTTGGGGCGTGGGCGTATTGTGGATATTTACCACTATTAAGCTGCAATCTGATCATGTTCCAGATATTCCAAAGAGCATGAACATAAAATCCACTGGAAATACAAATGATGGTCCTTCTGAAATCTCTTTCTTTTTTGTCATGTCCAAAGTGTACGAGCGGTAACGCCGAACATAATAGATGAGAAAAACGCTCATACGGTGCGAATAAGTGGAGACGTCAATAGTTTCAGCAAAGTCTGCTACCAACAACAGCAACAAACACCTAGCTCTATATGTGGATATTGCAGCTTCGCAGTCAAATAGTGTTGGGTAAGGTGAAATATGCTCTAGTTAAACATATCCAAATTTTGAGCGATTTGGTCTGCTAACAAAAAAAGTTATGAACGAAAAAGC